TAATAAGTTTTGCTCTTTATCTTTCTTTAACGTCTTTTAATTTCCTCAAATGTCTTTCTTTCTCTCTTTCTCCTTTTTGCTTTCTTTTAAGCTCTCTTCTTTTCGTTCACCTTTCCTCCCCCCCACACACTCTTTCTGATATCTTTTTCCGTCTTCTTGTTAAGATTTTTTTTTTTTTTCACTTCAAGATTAAATGGTGCATAGGCCGGTTTGACTTCTTTTAATCTCGAAACATGTGGCATCAACAAACCATGAAGGTCCCCGACACCATCCCTTTTGCTTTTGCCGCATCTTTCAGCCCCTAACATGCCCCTGGTGATGTCCTGTGTTTGTTTGGCCAACACCCGCTAACCAGATGTGTCCGGGGTTAAAGAGTCGTCAGGTACAAGGAGAAGACGGACGGCTTCCGACTTTTTCCTGTGAGGAATTCTCGTTCATTTTTGTCCACTTGTTACTATTTTGAAAAGGAATTTAGTCGAAAGCTTAGTAGGCAAGGAACGGTCAAACAGGCAAAAGGATGACAGGTACAGAAAAAAAGGGAAGGAGGATGAAGTTAGTCTTGAACTTTAGGCAGGGCATGGAAGGAAAGCTTAGAATGAAAGAAGGAGGGGTTAGAAATACAAAGGCTTAGTAAAAATGAAGGAACTCATCACACAAATGAAGGAAGACTTGGAAAAAAGAGAGAAAGGAAGGTTTAGAATGAAAAGTGACTTGGAAGGAATGAAGGAGCGAAGTAAGGAAGGAAAATTAATGATTCAAGGAAGGAAAGCTTAAAAGGGAATGAATACATAACAAAGGAAAGAAAAAGCTGAGAAAAAAAGAAAAATGAGTTTGAAGTAAAGAAGGCTTGAAAGGAAAGAAAGAAGGTCGGGAAGAAGAAGTTTAATGGGAGTAAATTTGAAAGGAAAGAAATAAGAATGAGTTAGAACAAAAGAAGGCTTAGAAGAAAGAAAGAAAGAAAGAAAGAAAGAAAGAAAGAAAGAAAGAAAGAAAGAAATGAAGGGAGTGAAAATCAGTGAAAGAAAGAAAGAAAAGAAAGGAAGGAAGGAAGGAAGGACGGAAGGAAGGAAGGAAGGAAGGAAGGAAGGAAGGAAGGAAGGAAGGAATGGAAGAAGAAAGGAAAGAAGGCTTAGGAGGAAGGAAGAAATGGAGGAAGGAAGGAAGGAAGGAAGGAAGGAAGGAAGGAAGGAAGGAAGAAAGGAAGGAAGAAATGGAAGAAGAAAGGAAAGAGGGCTTAGGAGGAAGGAAGGAATGGAGGAAGGAAGGAAGGAAGGAAGGAAGGAAGGAAGGAAGGAAGGAAGGAAGGAAGGAAGGAAGGAAGGAAAGGAATGAAGGAAGGAAGGAATGAAGGAAGGAAGGAAGGAAGGAAGGAAGGAAGGAAGGAAGGAAAGGAAGGAAGGAAGAAAGAAGAAAAAAAAGAAGAGGGCTTAGGAGGAAGGAAGGAATGGAGGAAGGAAGGAAGGAAGAAAGGAATGGAGGAAGGGAGGAAGGAAATGTAAAAAGAAGCGGATGAAGATATAACAGAGAGGAAAGAAGGCTTAGAAAAAAAGGATATGGGCTTAGAATAAAAGAATGCCCGAATAGAAGGAAAAAATGAAGGAAAAAAGGAAAGAAAAAAAAGGAAAGAAAAATAGTAAAAAAAACAAAAAACAACGAAGTGGGCCTAGAACGGATGCTGATGTGTAAGGAAGGAAGGAAGAAACGTAACAGAAAAAATACACAGACTTCGAAATGAAAGAATGAAAGACCGGGTTAGAAAGAAATCAAGCTTGAAATGAAGAAAGGAAGGCATTATGCTTAAAATAAAAGTTTATGAAGGTATGAGTAAGACAAGACGTATGAATTGAGGAGGGCCAGGATTTATGAAGTTGACCGGTAGAAATCCTTGTAAGATTTGAAGCCATTCACAAACAGTTTTACTTTCTCTACAGTAAAAAAAAAAAAATAAAATCTGAAATCGTTTAGATTTTACCTCAAAGTTGAGTTTTATATTAAAATGCGAGATTCTTTTTTAATATTTCCTGTTGAAAAAAGGGTGGTTTTACATCCCCATTTGTGTTTTTTTGTACAAGTTACGTCAAGTACCTTTGGGAGTATAAAAATACTGCAACCATAGCAGAGAGATTGTGTCTTGGAAGAAAGGAAAATTAATGACAAAAGGAAAGAAAAGAAACGTGAATCGATAAGAAAGAAAGAAAGAAAGAAAGAAAGAAAGAAAGAAAGAAAGAAAGGAAAAAGAAAGAAAGAAAGAATGTGAATTGACAAGAAAAAAATTTGAATTGACAAGAAACAAAGAAACGTGATTCGACAAGAAAAAAAGAAACGTGAAATGTCAAGAAAGATAGAAAGAAATGTGAATAGTAAAGAAGAAAAGAAACGTGAATAGATAAGAAAGAAAGAAACGTGAATCGACAAGAAAGAAAGAAAGAAAGAAATAAAGAAACGTGAATCGACAAGAAAGAAAGAAAGAAAGAAAAGAAACGAGAATCAACAAGAAATAAATAAATAAATAAATAAATAAATAAATAAATAAAGAAAGAAAGAAAGAAAGAAAGAAAGAAAGAAAGAAACGTGAACTGGCAGGTAAGTACCATAGAAAGAAGACAAGAAAAAGAGAGGTAGAAATTGAAAAGAAGAAGAGAAAGGCAAAAAAGAAAGCCGGAAAGAATAAAAACAAATGGGAAGGAAGGAAAACTGTAAAGGATAGAAAAAAAAAAAGAAAAAAACTCCAAGACAAGAGACAAGAAAACTTTCTTGGAAGAAACAATAATAAAAAGGTTTTAAAAGAACAAAAGAAAAACATCCGTTTGATAATTTCCTCAAATGTTAACATATTGCTGACATCCGTTTTGGTATGAAAAGCGGAAGTAAAGAACAGTGGTGTAGTGGTTGGTTGAAATAATTGCGGTGCCAGAGGTTGGTGTTCGAAATCGTAAAGAAACAGAGGATTTCGCATGCTGATTTTCAAGAAAGGTTAGCTGTCCCCACTTGGAAATAAGGTGCAAAGCAATCGTTATATTACTTTTTTTTTTCATTACGTGCTTACAATGACATAACTCATAAAAAGACTCATAAATACCTTTAGGTGTTTTACTGTACGACGCGACCGTCACACAGAGTAATTCGCTGAGTCGGGGGTTCGATCCTTACTGCGTGATCTACGTTTGCATTAAGCAATACCCGCCCCCAAAAATGTATGAACGCCTGCTAGATCTTTTTTATTTTATTTTTTACTGTGGAAATACGGATCTCCTAACTTTTGAGTTTCGTTACTTGCAATTTTTTTGGCTTCTTTTGAAGTCCAGTCTTAGTAAATTTTGAATTAATTTAATAAATGTTAAATCTAATTTTAATTGAATTTAATTTTATTAAAATTTCATTTCATTTAAAATTGAATTAATTTTTCTTTAAAAAATTAATTTAATTTAATTTTAATAAATTTTTGTTAAAATTTAATTGAGCTAAATTTAAAATTCAATTGAATTTAAAATTTACTTTTCATTTTTAAAATTTAATTTAATTTTTTAAAATTTAATTTAAAATTAATTGAACTGAATGGAATTTTAATAAATGTGGAATTTATTAATTTAATAGATTTTGAATTTAATTTTAATTGAAATTAATTTTATAAAATTTCATTTCATTTCATTTAAAATTTCATTTAAATTTAAACCAACTTTTTAAAAACTTGGATTCAATTTTAATTGAATTGGACTGAATTTTAATAAATTTTGAATTATTAATTTAACAGCCACTAAATTGTGAATTTTGCTACGCTTGTAAACTAAATAAAAATGCCGGAAGAATTAGATTATTTCTTTCATACTCTCCCACCCCTGGTCCGCCTCGACACGGTGATTATTTGGTAAGACTCGTTTCTTATTTTCAAATAATATTCTCTGTCACGATGACTTTGTTCTTCGTTCAATAAATTTATACAAAACTTCCCGGCGGAATGTATATTTGAACGAGCACGATTATTTGATGACTTAAAAAATTCACACAGACATAACTATTCCAGATGGCACTTGTATTTAGTACAAAAAAGTATTTTGATATTTATATACTTTCGCCCTCCTCTTTACATTTTCCGATCTCTGTCAGTAAATACTGAATCGTCTTATCACAGGCTGGGAAGAGATTTACGTCAACAGAAATGTGGTTCTACAAAAGGATGCTGAGAATACCATGGATTGAACACGCGATAAAATATAAAGAAAATGAAAGCAAACACGAAGCATCAAAATGAGACAGTTGAAATTTCTAATGAAGAAAAAGGACTTGGAGAATTTGACACCCGCAGGATATAATGTAGTCAAGTGTGACAGAGGAAAACAGCGATCAACCTACCTAATGATCTTATGTAAATGATTAACAGAACAGAGATTAGGAGATATAGCAAAAGAACAATTTTTACTCAGGGCTGTAAAAGACAGGAAGTTGTGGAAAGCCATGATCGACTGTTACCAGAAAGGACTCAGCACATAGAAGAGGAATTTGATATTAGTAATAAAGTCAAATAGTTAACTGGTTCAATGATCGGATCACAAAATGCTGTCTCTCCAGGCAATACCTGTCTGTCATATTGGTACTAGAATAATTACATGGCCTCTGAGGGGCATCCTCTAACAGGAATGTGCCGAAGTACTCGGGCAATTTTCCCTTGTGACAAGTGTACTTGAGCAACCTACGTAAGGCTCGTCCTTACCTCATATTGTATACAAGATGGGCGTACAGATAAATACACCCTCAGGAGGAACTGAATTTATTACAGGGCGTACAAGTTAAACTCGGGCAATTTTTCTTTTGTCCCCTGTACATATGGGCAATCATTGTAAGCTTCTCCTCGCGTCATATTCTATACAAGATGGGCGTACACCCTCAGGAGGAACTGAAATAATTACAGGGTGCCTGGGGAGTACCATTTGGACTCGGGCAGTTTTTGTCCCTCGACCCAACTTTTTCTCGGTGTAAATTCGACCCTGTGTCCCGTTCTGAAC